AATGATAAAAAGCTTGTGTTTTTGGGTCATTTTATATCTCCAAGATCATGATTTTTATTGGAAAATTGCCAAAAAATCCACTCCATCACCCCTTCTCTTCTCACTATTTAGAAACCTATTCACATCCTTCTGTAATATATACACAATAGAAGCTATAATTTCATTTGATTTAGATAAATTCCAATCTAAATCATCTGCATAAAAATAATCCTTTTCATGGAATTCTTACACCTCATCAAGCCATAGGGGATCCTGAATGATTTTCTTGAATTAATATGAAGTTGAATTGATTGCTTACCTCTAGAAATTGATATCCTGCCACCATGCTTGATCATAAAAGAAACAGAAATGTTTTTAGGTCAATTATAGGGCAACTAACCATGTGGAACAAGGTGTAGGCGTGAATGGAAACTTTTTTAGGTCAATTATGGGGCAACTAACCACGTGGAACAGAGCATGCTAATTGAAATTTGGCTAAGTGTTGGGGTTGTGGCCACGTGGAAATAATTAGGGTGCACGTTGGGCACAGGCAGATGTGTGGGTGGGCAAGTTGAGGGCGAGCGGGTGGGCAGGCAATAGCCATGGGCAGGAGTGTGCAGCAGAGACGGATGGGAGAGGGAGTGCGCTAGAGGAAAAAACAAAAAGAAAGCATCATGCCATATCACTACTAGGTAAGCAGAGAGAGAGTGAATTAGGATGGTGTTTAATAGGAAGCACTCTTCACCAAGAAGGTTTCCTTGTTATAGCTAAAGAGGCTCTTTCATCTCCTTGGAAGTCCTCACCTCCCCTCACCACAGCTTTTAGTGATTATTTGAGGATTCTTTTATCTATCATTCAAATAAATTGGAAATAGCATTGTTCTGTGAATTGGAAGCTTTGTTGGAAGGATGGGCTTATTTAATTCTTCATATTTATTTGGAGTTCTAATATACATAATATACAACATGCTATTAGAAGGGAAATTTTAGGATTTAATTAATAAAGAAATTAAAACAGTCAAAATATTATTTGAGAGCATTGCCTTTGGAAGGGAGGAGGAGAAAAAACAGCTCTACCAAGCTTCTAAGAGCCAATGCCTCTTCAATAAAGATTGCCTCCAATGTGGTTAGAAGACTACTTTTCCTAACCTAGAACCTAAATTCTTAGAAGGCATCTTTATTATAAGAAATTCCAAAACATTATGTGAGACACAAAATCCCTAGGCCCCAAAGTGGAGCTGGAAAGGGTGCCACGTGGTAGTGGCTGAAGCGAAAGCCAAACGAGCGTAACACATTTGGACTAAAAGCTCCAACTTGGAAGGTCGAGAGTGGGAGTGGAACTCCCAACAAATTGCTCAAGGAACAAGCACGAAGCGAGCAATAAGTGAAACTCCAAAAAGGGACCCAAAAGGACCAACACATGACACGTGGAAGTGTCCGAGATGGACCCGAGTTGGAGTCTGAGATGGAGTCCGAGGTGGAGTCCGAGGTGGAGTCCAAGATGAAGTCCGAGTTGGACCCGAGTTGGAGTCCAAGATGGAGTCCGAGGTGGAGTCCGAGGTGGAGTCCGAGATGGAGTCCGAGATGGACCGAGATGGAGTCCAAGATGGAGTCCGAGGTGGAGTCCGAGGTGGAGTCCGAGATGGAGTCCGAGATGGAGTCCGAAGTGGAGTCCGAGATGGAGTCCGAAGTGGAGTCTGAGATGGAGTTCGAGATGGAGTCCGAGATGGACCGAGATGGAGTCTGAGATGGACCCGAGATGGAATCCAAGATGGAGTCCGAGAAGGACCCGAGATGAAGTCCAAGGTCGAGACCGAGATCGGGACTGAGACCGGGACCAAGACCAGGACCGAGACCGGAACCGAGACCGGGACTGAGACCGAGACCAAGACCGAGACCAGGACTGAGACCGAGACTGAGGCGGAGGCCGAGCCCAAGCCCGAGTCCGAGTCCGAGTCCGAGTCTGAGAGGGTGAAAGCCCAAAGTGTTCATCTCCCAGACCATAGGGGGTTTGGTGAGCTCCAAAAGTATAGTAAGGGGGAGGACTGCAGTGGAGCCAGTTTGGCTAGGAAAGGCCAGTTTGGCCTAGGAAGGCCAGACCCAGTGTTGGGTGATGAACTGACCACTAGGAAGTCCAAGACTAGAGTGAATACGGACCGACAAGCGGGGTAGCTTGGTGAAGTGTTCAAGAGCCGGCTCTAGTTCCCCCGGGAGATCGACTAGCCGATGCTCCCAGTCCAAGTGTGGGTGGCACTACCTACTTGGATACCAGATATGGCTCAACGGAACCTCGCTCTAAGCCCATGGCTAGAGCACCTAAAGGCGAAAGGCGGGGAGAGTACCCAGGTGGCTCGTGTAAGGCCACGGTGTTCCGAAATGTTGTCCCAAAGGCCCAGCCTGTGGAAAGGAAGAGGAGCAGTCCTCTGGGGTAGTGACCAAGGACACAGTCGTGTGGTGAGGAAGTCCCAGAGGACCGTGGGACTTAGTGGTCGGGCCGGTGGGCCTCGATTCAGTGGTAGTGTTGGTGAACACGGCCGTGGGCAGAAAGGGACTTGGTGGGGACCAGAAAAGGGACTTTGGGGAAGGCGATTCCCCTTGTCGGTGGGCATCCTAAGGATGCTAAGGAGTGGATCTGGGATGACCACTCATGGATGGTTGGCCCAGTCTTGGAGAGACAAGACTGTGTTGCAAGTGGTATTGGACTACCAATGCGGCAAAGGTGATTGGGCATGGCCTTAGCGTAACAGGCTACTATGTCGGTGGTACCTTTGAGTGTCGGTCATAGGATCGGACATGTGGAGCACTTGGACCAGGTGCAAGGGTTGAGTGGCATGGATGCCATTCTTGGGGCTAGCAAGTCCCAAGTCCTGAATTGGATTTATGGAGGTTGTGAATGAGACTCCTCCAAGTGGTCGGAGGTGTGGTTAAGTGACTAAAGTAGAATGGAAAAATTAGTCACTTACAATTATATTTGTCGTGAATGTAACTTTAGGTATCGAAAGTTACCTATCAGTTGTCCTTTTGATTATTCTTTCCTTACTACCATGACGGCAGGAGGTTGGTATTGTTGAACCCTTTATCAGTCCCTTTTGTGTTAGTGGAGTTAACTGGGCATTTCAAGTGTACTTAAATGGGACGAGTATAAGGATAGAATTCCTACGTGTTATTAACTAAGCATACTTAGCCTAGTAAAGAGTTTCTGTCTCGTTATGTCTTGCACTGGCTAGTGACAAAAACCCTCACATATTGAAACTAATCCCTCAATATCGCTAAATGATAGCTTATTGTGTTTGCCAAACACCCTTGCTATCATGCCCTTTGTGTTAGTTTCATTTCGGTCCCAAATGCTATTTATGGAAAGTATCTAGATTTGCTCATTTGGTATATCTACGGAATGTAGAGATTCTCCTGAACACAATGGTGTTTGTCCCGTATCCAAATTTGCAATCTAAGGACATTCCATATTTAGTAAATTTCAAGTTTGTCTTAGAGACTACCTCCTGGTATTAAGGGAAATTTGGGGTGAAAGCCCAAAGCATGTGTTCCTCAGAGGGGTGGGATATGGGGGGTTCCAAATGCATAGTAGGAATAGTGGGTAGGTGGGCATAACTGACCAATCTGAGGCATAATTTAGCTCTTGCTTGTGTGCTTGTCCTTGTTCTGCATCTGGCTTGGGTTTAAGCCCAAGTTCCATTCCATGCTAGTTAGTGGAGTACTCATATCCTTGCGTTAAATTATCAGTATGCTGAAAGAGTGCCAAACTTTATTTAGCTTTGTTTTGCATGTTGGCCCATGCATTGGGATGTTGGATACTTTAGGATTGATTCAAGTTACTTTGTGCTCTTATCCCTTTGCTTCTTAAGTTGTATGCTTGGGAATTGTTCTATGCTCTAGTGCTAATGCTCCTTGGCTCTATACTTGAGAGTTTAGCACTGTTCCTTCATTCAATGGCCCAAGGCCCTTGAACTCGGGTTCTTCTCCATTGTCTTTTGGACACATGGCATGTGGCATGTGGCATATAACACGTGGCATATGGAGGGTTTATGTTCTACTTCATGGTTATCTTATGGTAAATCTTAAGGGTGAAAACTATGTGTGCTACAATATTGTCCCCTAAAAGGCCATAACTAGAGGCATAACTAGCTAAAACACTCCTCTTTACCTTCTTAGCTCCAACCAACAATAGAGCTTCCAAGAAAAGTGGACTCGGTCTTGTCAATTTCATGCAGCATAGAGAAATGCATCCTTTCTACCAGGCCAACTTGATGAGCAAAGCTTGACTGATATTCAAGAGGTGCAATATTTTGATTCCAATAGCTCTCTATTCTTATCAGGGCGTGTTTGTTTTCCGGGTTCTACTTAAGCAAATTGAAGCTATATCATGTCTAACTAGTGTGCTCAATAGAGACATGAGAGATGTTGAGATTATAACTGAGGATGAAGGTCACTTAATGGGCATCAAATTAAGCAGCACCAAGCGGCCATGGACTTTGCTTCCTCCATAAGGTATTTTTGAGATCTTGTACCATAATTTGAACTTAATGAAAATCTGTTGACCTGTAAAGCGCTTGTAGCTAGTGGATAGAGCGTCTGTGGATAGTAACCAGAAAGTCACAGGTTCGAACCCTGTCCAGAGCGCTCATTGCTTCATAAATTCTTTATTTGATTAAATTAAAATCATCATTGATTGTTTAAGGCCTATTAGCTCAGCTGGTCAGAGCGTGGTGCTAATAACGCCAAGGTCGCAGGTTCCAAACCTGCATGGGCCAAATATTTTCCTCAACCAAGCCTTTTCAAAAAAAGGGAAAGAAAAAGTTATTAATGTACCAACACTACATTAAAATATAATCTCACTATATTTCACAATTTCACAATCGCACCAGACCTTTCTACGTGGAACCACCTCTTGGACCTCTTTCGTCGTGAGCGCGTAATTCGATTTACACGACTTTAGAGCCTGTCGAGCAGTGGCCAAAATCTCCGAGTTTTCCAGCTCCTGCCGGATGTGGCTCCCTGCCGGATGTGGCTGCCCTAGGAGGAAGAACGCGCTGGAGCAAGGATCTGGCAGCTGCCAGCGGCGAATTGATCCGATCGAGCAGCGACGGGATGGCATTGTGCTGCTGGAACTGGCGCGAGAGATCGGGTACCTTGATTCCGGAGAAGAGAATCCGCGCGGGCTGGAGCGCCGACGGTGGCGCCTCCGCCCTGGAAGACGACATTGCCTTTGCCCGTGGCATGGCCCTGGAATATCCTCGAGATCAATAGAGCAATCACGTCCGTCCATTCGTGATGCCATCTGGACCGCTGAGCGGTAGTTCATTTTGCTATGCCAACTTTTAGATTCGTAGTTCCTTCTTAGCAGCCGCACATGACCGAACCTCTTTTAGAATCTAGAAAATCCAAGATATTTTTTCGTATTCGCCAAGAAAGTTTTAGTATAAAACCAGAGGAAGCTTATCTTTGCGAAGAGCTCAACAATGGCCACCGAAGTTCTTCCACTCCACTTGGGTGTGAAGAATCTGGTGGATTCGGGCCTGGACAAGCTGCCCGGCATTTACATCCAATCCAAAGAGGAGCGCCCAAATGCCGTTCATCGCGAGGAAAGCTTCCCAGTCTTGGATCTTGGCGCCGCCTTGAATTCGAGCGAGGCTCGAGCAGCGCTTGTCCCGCAAATCCGTGAAGCTTGCGTGCAATGGGGCTTCTTCCAGGTGTGCTATTGCTCTTGCTGGGTGTTGGATGTCCCAAAATCTCTTTGTTCCAATCATTGGGTCTAGAATTGATCGAGAATTGTGTGATCTTCGCCATACAGGTGATCAATCACGGTGTTCCCCATTCTTTGGTGGATGAAATGCAATCGGTGGCTCGCGAATTCCACGCTCTCGCAAACGAGGAGAAAATGCGCTACTTCTCCACAGACACAGAATCCCGAATGAGGTATGGAACCAGCTTCAATGTCACACAAGACAAGGTCTTTAGCTGGAGAGATTACCTCCGCCATAGCTGCCTCCCACTGGCCGAGATGCAAGAACTCTGGCCTGAAAAGCCAGCATCTTACAGGTATAAATACCTTCTCGCCGTCCTTTCTTAACATCGCTGGTATATGATCATCTTATAGGAAAGTTACTGCCGATTACTCCACTCGCGTTCGCAACCTTGCAAAGTTCCTCCTGGAGCTCATCTCCGAGAGCTTGGATCTTCCAAAGGATTACATCGACAAGGCATTCAATGGCTGCTCGCAAGTCATGGCTCTCAACTTCTATCCTGCTTGCCCCGAGCCCGATCTGGTGCTGGGAATCGGCCCACACTCGGACCCCGGATCGATCACGCTGCTGCTCCAAGATCACGTCGAGGGTCTCCAGGTGATGCACGGTAACGAGTGGTACTCCGTGAAGCCCATACCTTACTCGTTCGTGGTCAATCTGGGCGACCAGATCCAGGTCAGCGTTCACTCTTTCTCGTTTACTAGCATTGACTGACTGGTCAAAGTTAATGTTTTCTTTTTATTCTCTTGCAGATTTTGAGCAATGACAAGTATAAGAGTGCCCAGCACAGGGCTGTGGTTAATAGCAGTGAAGATCGAATGTCCATTCCAGTGGCAATTGGGCCAAATTGGGAGAGTTTGGTGCACCCAGCGAGCAAATTGGTGGAGGGCTCTCCAGTGTTTAAGCCTATGGTTTATAAGGATTATATGACGGCTTTGCAAGCTGGGGGACTTAATCGCCAGTGGCTCTTGGACACTCTGAGGATTTAATTTGATTTTGAAATGGAAGTTAATTGTTCAAAATAGAAAAACAAAATAAAAGCACTAAAATAAAATAACCACTAAAATAAAAGCACTCTTCACCAAGAAGGTCTCCTTGTTGTAGCTAAAGATGCTCTTTCGTCTCTTTGGAAGTCCTCACCTCCCCTCACCACAGCTTCTAGTGATTATTTGAAGATTCTTTTATATATCATTCACATAAATTGGAAATAGCATTGTTCTGTGAATTGGAAGCTTAGTTGGATATATGATTCTTCATATTTATTTGGAGTTCTATGTTATGTGATAACATAGTGACTTCAATTTTGTAATACATATTCCTGTCATACTTATCTAAAGTTTTCATTTTTATTTACAGTATATACACAATATATTTACTCATAACAGAAGGGAAATTTTAGGATTTAGTTAATAAAGAAATTGAAACAATCAAAATATTATTTGAGAGCATTGCCTTTGGAAGGGAGGAGAAAGAACAACCCTACCAAGCTTCTAGGAGCCAATACTTCTTCAATCAAGATTGCCTCCAATGCGGTTGGAAGATTGCTCTTCCCAGCCTATAACCTAAATTCCTGGAAGGCATCCCTTCCAAAACATTATATTGCCCCCCAAAAAGCCATGCCTATACGTGTAACTAGCCAGGATACTCCATTTAGCTACATACACTGATTGGTTACACTTGGAGGCTATGTTGTCCTAATGGCCTAGAAAAACAAAATGTTACTCTTAACAAGGCTCTTATAATGATGAAAAATGCAATAAAATGTGATTCATGATGTGAATTATAAAATTTCAAGTTTTGAATGCAACTTGTCGAAGATGTTCATTTTGAGAGCATGTCTGCCTGAGTATTCACAACCATTTGCTACTCCATATACACTCTATGAAGGGGTAAATGTGGCCATTTGTGGACTTGGGTTCTAGCTGGCTTGATTGCATGTGGATAGTGTAACCCTAAATCGTCTATGTGGCGGCACCCTGTACTCGTGATGAAATAAAAGCATCTTCTCCTTGGAATGTATTCACCGATGGTTCCTTCGATAAAGACTCTCAGCAGGGTACGGCGTTTACTTCCCGTCGGCAGAGGAGTCCCACAAAGGGACGGATGTTAGTCAGAATATGCTTGTATAGCGCACAAGAGTATATCCTTCCGCCAGCATTGGATGGCGGCCAACAGCTATGTTGCGATCAATGACGAGGTCGATGTGAAGGCTATGGAGTTGCGATTGATCCGCTAGGTGTCGGATTGTAAACCTCGGCGCAATTCGTTTGGATCGAAGACGCAATTTCCTCCTCCACGCTCTTGCCAAAGGAGAAGCCACTATATGCTCGGTTTGGGCATCTTAGGTCAATGTCTGAACGAGGCTGTCAGGAAAACGAGGCACGATCTACCAGCGATTGATGCTCCATTTGCCCTCCATCCGGTTCTTTCAAACGTCAAGCGCCTGTACAAAATGCCCGCTGCGGGCACAAGCTGCGATGGCCGGCGGACCACGCTTCGATCCGGCACGCTGTCAGAGAGTCTCTGGGCCTGGTGGAGCAAGCTGTGGGGCTAAGAGGGCATTCCAAGAGAACATCTCCTGCTCCGGGAGGCTCGTCAACCTCGCTGTGTCGTGCAAACGGAGGGCGTTTGCTCACACCAGATCCGCCTGTGCATGCCGTCAAACACGTCCTTGGCCCGGGCCAGGTCGCGGTCCGCGCAAGCGGTGATCATGGCTATCAGCATCACATCGAACAGCTTTTGCGTCATCTAGGGAGCCGCTCTTTGCAAACACACTAGCATTGCCAACCACGACACAAGGCTCCTCTTGGGCATGCCATCAAAAAGGTGGTGGATCAAGCCTTATAGTCGGAAGCAGGGGAGAATTATCAGCAGTTGGCAGCTCAAAACATGTTCACTGATAATTCACTGCTGCCAACTATGACGCATGTACATATAGTGTCCATGACGCTGGAGAACGACCAAAGATGTCTCAGCTATGGTTTTCTGAAGCAGCGTTAACAACGTTTCTCAGCAGGAGAGGAGTCGGGGGACAGGGAGAAGCTCTAGAGGCCGGTCAGCCACTACTGTATGGATCGCAAGGCTTTCCAGGAGCAGCGGCAGCAGCGGTTCTTCCTTTCGAAAACATAAGTGGAAGTTTTGTTCCGGGAAGCGGCCAGGATCCAAGGTTGTTTCAAGAGCAGCTGAGACGACTGTATGGGCTGCTGGAGATGAATCCCAGGAACTTCGCCGACGGCATGAAAAGGGAGGAGGCCTCGGTTGGAAAGCAATTCACACTTTGCTCCACTCAAATCGGCCTTGCATCCTTCTGCCTGACACAGTGGTGCTTGAGCTCCAGGGGAATTTGCTCGGGGCCTTTTCCCTAGCCTCGCTAGCGTGTCTTCCAAGTACGTCCTCCTCAAGCCCCTGCTTCGAGTATGCACGCCACAAGGTTCCGATCACGCTGCTCACGGGCGTGTCGCGCGGGAGAGGAAGGAACATTAACATTGCGAGCCGTTTAGAAGAGGAGAGTCAAGCAAAGGCTTTGGAATTTTAGGTTTCTTCGACAAAGATTCTTTTGGTGCTCTAACGGATGGATGCATTTCCTTCGACCCGCGCTCCACAGGTACTGCCACAGATTGGGACAAGGCCGGGTTCACGGCACAGACTGCTCAGCGGAGCTCCTTTCGGGGTTGAAATCCTGCGGGAGCTCCAAGGACTTAGAGAAGGGAAGGGTGCTCCACGATCGCGCCATCCAGAGCGGGGTTTGCTCCAATCTCTACGTTTCTTGCAGCTTGATCGGCATGTATGGGAGGTGTGGCAGCCTGGTTGAGGCGAGGAGGGTGTTTGAGAGGATGCCTTGCCACAATGTAGTGACCTGGAACGCTGTCATCTTGGGCCACGCTGAGAATGGCGAAGAATCTCGTGCTCTGGAAGCCTTCTCATGGATGGAAAGCCAGGGTTGCGCACCGGATGCCGGGACATTCTTTGCAGCGATCAAGGCTTGCTCGGCTCTAGCGGTCAGAGAAGCAGCGAGACTCATCGGTGGGAAGATGATCAAGCTGGAAGCTCTGGAACAAGGCATGAGAATCCACTCCCGAGCTAAGAGCAGCGGCAAAGATGATCACGTAGCGAGCTCGCTGGTGGAAATGTACGCCTACTGTGGAAGAATGGTGGAAGCACGCATGGTTTTCGATACAAGCTCCCGGCACAGTGTCATCTCGTGGACTGTTCTAGTGCTTGGGTACGTAGCAAACGGGGAGAGTGAGCTAGCGCTCGAGGTTTTTGGCAGTATGGGAGCTGGAGAGATCAAGCCGGATGGTCGATGCTTTGGCGCAGCAGTGAAAGCTTGCTCCGATTTGGCTGAGAGAGAAAAGTGGGGAGAAGATTTGGATGGAACGGCTGTGAAAGTTGGCGCTCTGGGGAAAGGGAGAGAGATCCATCGCCAAGCGAGACGAGCGCTGGATGTTTTCGTTGGAAATGCTCTGGTGGATATGTTTGCGAAGTGTGGGAGCATGGTTGATGCCCGAGGAGTTTTCGACAAGATGCCTTGCCACAGTGTGGTCTCGTGGAACACGCTACTGGTGGGATATGTAGAGAATGGAGAAGCAGAGCGAGCGCTGGAAATCCTTGCGTCCGCTACTACAGCGGATTCCTTGACGTTTGTCGCTGGTTTGAAGGCCTGCATTGGATTAGCAGCGAAAGAAGAAGCCACAAGCTTTGAAGGGAAGATGGTGAAACTGGATTCTCTGGAGAAGGGGATGGCGATTCACATCCAGGCCGCGGAGAAAGGATTCGAGAGGGACGAGTTTTTGTCGAACACTCTCATGGACATGTATGCCAAGTGTGGAAGCATGGTGGAGGCCGAGAGAGTTTTCAGGAGCATGCCTTGCCACGGCCTGGTGTCATGGACGGTGCTTATGCTGGGATACGTGGATAACTCGCAAGCAGAGGTAGCTTTGGATTTGTTTTCTCAGATGAAAAACAGAGGCCTCGTTCCAGATGCTATGGCTTTAGTTGCTGTGTCGAAGGCCTGTCTCGGCTTGGCGGCCAAGGAAGGGGCCGTGGTGGTTGATGGAAAGCTGGTCAAGCTCAAATGCTTGGAGAGAACAATGGCTCTTCATGGAGACTCGAGAAACTACTTTAAGACGGACGTGATCTTGGCGAGCACTTTAGTCGACGCTTACGCGCGAAGTGCAAGCCTGCTGGATGCTCGAAGAGTTTTCGACCAGATGTGCTCGCACGACGTCATGTCGTGGACTTCGCTGGTTCTGGCCTGTGTTGATTGCGGAGAGGAAGACACGGCACTAGAGCTGTTCCAACGCATGATATCCGAGGGGCATGCGCTCACGTCTTCGAGCATTGTCACAGCAGCACTCAAGGCTTGCATCCGCGTCGCTGCAAGGGAAGAGGCCATTCAGGTGGATGGAAAGGCTGTCAAAGTTTCGTCACTGCAGAAAGGGATTGCTATCCATTGCCAGGCTTCCAAACTCCTTCGACACTGGGACTTCGTTTTGGCCAGCAGTTTGATGGAAATGTACGCCAACTGTGGGAGTCTGGTGGACGCCCAGCAAGTTTTCGACAGCATGCCACACCGTGATGTAGTCTCGTGGACAGTGCTCATGTCGGGGTACGCGGACTGTGGTGATGGAGACAAAGTTTTGGAGCTCTTTGCGGGAATGAAACTGAAACTCGGTCAGGCCTGCTGTGCTCTAGATGCTCGAGCCTTCGTCCCCGTGCTCAAGGGAAGCTCTTCTGTGGGATCGCTGGAAGTCACTAAAGCCATTGTTGGGGAAGTATACAGATATGGAGCCGAGAAAGACATTGTGCTCTCCAACAGCATGGTGGACGTGTTTGGAAAAGCCGGAAGTATGAACGACGCACAACAGGCGTTTGACGCAGCTCAAACTCGAGATTTGATAGCATGGAACGCTCTCGCAGCTGGGTACGGCCGCCAGGGCGACGCTGAGAAGGTCTTGGATGTCTTTCATCGGGCTGTGGACGACGAAGGCGTTGAGCCGGACAGTGTGACGCTGCTGTGCGTCCTCGCTGCGTGCAGTCACGCCGGGATGGTGACTAGAGGCAGGAAGTACTTCGATGCAATGCTCACCAAGTATGGAGTGAGTCCGAGGTGTGAGCACCGAGTGTGCGTGGTAGACATGCTCGGTCGGGCCAACCAACTTGGCGAGGCACTGGTAATGGTGACTAGCATGGGCTCGGAAGCGAGAGCGCTCACTTGGAGGACACTCCTGGCTGCTTGCCGGACGTGGAGAGATGTGGAGACTGGAAAGGTGGCGTTCGAATCTCTCGTGAATATTGACGACAGAGACACGGCAGCATACTCTCTCATGTCCAACCTGCTTGGGAGCGTCGGATTGTGGCAGGAGCAGTCACGGATCCTGCGAAGTCAAGAGGAACTCTTCGCCCAGCAGCAAGTGGCATCCTACATCGACTGCGGAGGATTGGTGAAAGAACGAGGACAAGCCCGTGCTTGTCTTGCCGAGAAAACAAGTGCCGCTCCGACACCATCGCGCGAGCGGGCAATTGAAGGGACGCGAGCTCATCCGCGAGCAAGCACTTCCACTGGCAAGAGACACCATCCAGAACCTCCTCAACCTTGTCCTTGGCATGACAGCGTTCCGTCAACGAGATTCCTCTGCTCCTTTCGCGATTGATGGACCAAGAGCGTGGAGGAATCTGGTCTCTAGTGCCATCCTCCTCGGCTCGGCAATGGTTTTTCGTTTTTTGTCCTTAATATCCTCACTAGCTTATCCTCCACAGCGAAGTTTGGAGCCTGATTATTGGAGGACAATTAACAAGAATTTTACCAACAGGCTCAGGCGATGGAACAGTCGGCTTATTTGATATCCAGAGCCATGGTGCCTCTTGCCCCCATTGCGAGGTATATTGCAGCCAAAACCAAGGTCATATGACTTGTTTCCCAGGTTGCATCCGCCGTGGAAGATATCTCCAGGCAAACAGAGCAGTCGTTTGGGACACACGGTCAATGCCAATGGAGATCTGTGACCCCTGAGTTAGCTCTCCGCTTGCGGTGGCTCGCGGTCTACGAAGGCGTTACACTGTTTGAGTCATGGAAAACCAATGCCTGCGGCAGGAAACACATGCCAGCACGCTGGGTAAGAGGTTTTCTTCTAACTTGGTGTGTAGTGAGTGACCTCCAGCTCTTCTCTTTCGTGTGTGTAGCTTTGTGGATGGTGGAGACCAAGGAGGAAATTATTCTCTCTGGTTTAACAGCTCCCTGGTCCTGGTTACTGCAAGTGGAGAAATGGTAGCGTGGCTCTTTTGGGATGTTACACTTGGAGAACCATGCCCCCGGCATTTGCAAAGCCATTCCACATGTATCAATCAATACGGTGAGTCTTATCATCGTCCACGATCTGTCTTCTTTTGCTTACATATCACCTTCCGCTTCACAGGTTTCAGTCTCTTCTGATGGATGATCAAAAGCTGGTACTTTCACCTATTCAATATTTGTTTCTTTGTTTGAATTCTTGCTGTCTAATCATCCCATCGACACTGGCGGTTAACACACCCGATTCCAGACCAGCAAGCGGTAGAACGAAGGAAGCTACCCTTCTTGTGTTCAACTGTGTTTCGTGTAGCTTCTTCGTGTTGAGAAGTTGCGAAACAGGTACTGAAAAGATCTATGTTTCTGTTCTGTTTATTGTAGAATGCTTGGAACTCAGAGATCCAAGCGCGGTTGGATATGGGAGAGCTGCGCCGTGGGGAAATGGCGAGAGGGTTATAGAAATCCTGGTAAATAAAATCTATAAAGCAAGAACCCTATTTTATGCATGGCTATGGAAGGACAGATTCCGGTGGTGGGGTGGATGGTTCCGCAGCGGCAGACTGCTGATGGTTGTAACCTTCTCTCACTTTGGGCTGGAGCTGGTGCGTGGTTCTTTGAAGTCCTGCCCGACTCCACCGTCTCTTCCACTGTCTCGGAGCTCAAGTGGAAGATCTGGACTGTGGCCGTCGCACGCGCTTGGCGCTCCTGTGCCGGATGGCTACTTGCACCTCTTCATCGCGGCCGACTACTTCACGCGCCACAGCCCACATCAAGAGCAATCTAGAAATCCCCATCCCCGCCCCGAGTGCTGCACAGGCCGCTGCACTACGCCCTCACCTTGTGAGTGCTTGTTTGGATCGTGTAGCAAAGTTATGGTTTTTCTGTCTTTTGCAGCTCGAGGAGGCCACTGATCGGACGCCATCGTCTTTCCCATTGGTCATCACAGATGAATATGTGTCAGGTAGCTAGCTATACGTACTTCTTCTTAAGAGCTTGCACAGCCATCGTGTCGATATTGTTTCCTCACTCTCTCGCCCACTTGCGTTGCTGATGCCGCTCTCCTGTTCGATGCGAGCGGCAAGGTTTGCGTCGTCGTCTTCACCTGGCTGTTGCTCCAGCTCCAGAGCAACAAACAGCCGCTGCAATGGCTCGACGCATTCGAAGCACAAGCTATAGCGGGTGACCGTGGTAGCGGTGCTGGACCCCTGGAAAATCTCTTGTTGCTGTTCCTGAGCAAACAAGCAGCGCTAAAGGATGAAAAGTTCTCCCCTGCATCCTTGGACAATCTCAAACGGATACGTTCCTGCATCGAAAACGCGCCCAGGATAGAGTGGAAGTCCATGGACCTCACCTTCGCTCTGCGCCAGATGTTGGAGGTATGATGATTGACACCGTTTTGATTGAGAGAGCATTCAACTTTTGTGTGGCAGGAGGTGATGGCAGCGGGAGAAATCCAATGGGACAACCAGATGCGTGCCCGGCTCGAGCAGTGGATCCAAGGCCACTACAACTTCCACCGCGTGGAGCCGCTCTTCCAGGAGCACGCAGACGTGAGCGTGCCGATTGCGCGCCTGATCTATACATGGATGCGGACGAGGAAGGGTTGGCGCGACCACGCCGAGCTCAAATCCCTGTGCTCGGCAGCGACATCATCGGAGTCGATTGTAGAGCACATCCAGGCTACGATGAGCCGGGGAAGCAGCGACGAGTGCCGCGAGCTTTGCGACGCGGCTGCCACCGTCTTTGGCAATGACTACGGTAGCCTTTTCGTGGAGATTTGCGCCAACTTGCAGTGGGATCCATGCCTGACCGAGTGCTCTCTAGAAGAATTCGGGGCGATCAAGCAGGCAGCCTCTGCATACCAGGTGGGGAGGGCAAAGCGTGTCGCGCAGTGGAAAAGGGGTTTTTGTTGCGATTAGCAACTCCACCAGAGGAATCTGTGAGGCGTTTGTGGCGTGGATCCAGTCTCCAAGCACGCAGGGGACTTGGGAGCTCGCTCGGATGAGATACGTCATGCCATAAGAGAGGCAGTCATCTCGGCTGGTGGAGTGGAGTACGACGAGGAGAGGCAGCAACTCTGGGCCAGGATGCAGGAGCTGCTGGGTGTCACTGGCAACATTTGGATTTGCATGCTTGCTCGTGCCTATGTGCAGCATGAACACCACTTTGGTGCTTTTAATGCCGCAAATTATTCCAGTGAAGATCTGCCCACAATTGTCAGAAAGCGTTCAGGCTCCATGCTTTTGCTAGATAAGCTTCTTTTAGTTTAGGTTATGTTTTAAACATTAATAAGTCTTGCTAACTACTAATGTTTACCAAACAATTGTTAATTTTAAATTGATTTTAATCTAATCAAATAAGGAATTTATGCAACTTGCAAAGCTACTATGGTCCTACTGTAATTAGTGTTGCAACTGGCTATGGTGCTACTGTCAAGGCCATGTACTGCATATAGAATGAGCATATAGACATAAAATTATATATAAAAGTAATCATGCCAGTCAACTCCACACCACATGCTCCTACCTCATGTCAATAACTAATGTCCTCACTACTACAAGGATAGGCTACTTAAGCCAGGTAAAAGAGCTCATCATGACCATGCCTATTCTTCCCGATTCCATGGAGTGGAACTACTTGCTTTGAGCTTGCAAGCACCATGAAAATGTAGAGAATCTCGGCAATGGACAAAGATATATTCATCACTCAATCCTCCTCTTCTTCCTCCCAGTATCTACAAGGTTTTTTTTATCATCCTTGTTCTTGACTCTTTTCTTTTTTATAATCTCTCCTCTACAAAGTTTAATAGAGTTCTGCATCACTTGAAGAATCACCATCTTTCTCATGGAACTCTATTAATATAATCTTTTTCATGGAACTCTATCAATATATGATTAGTATCCCCATTTTTAATTTCAAAGAAAACCATTTATATGTGTTAGAAAATCACAGAAATACCTTGTAAGCAACCAAAGTGAATGATTTAAAAGACAATCCAATTTATAGCAAATGTCACCTATGGGATTTAGTTCTGTGATAAGTAGCTCAATAGAATGATCATATTAGTTTAAAGTGTGTGTAAAAACTAAAATTGAAATCATGCTTATAAGTTTTATTTGCCATCATAATAGATATCTCAGTTGGGCATTGTGAAATATTGAACACTTTTTGTTCTAGGCTTATTTAGTTGGAGGTTTCTTCCCAAATTCTAACAGCTTTACATGTTATAGTGAGCAATAGATACTAAAAGATACCAAATTCTAAGTTAGTGTTTGAGGATCCTACTTTGGAGTTTAAGGCTTTTATCTTTAAGGATAAAGTAGTGAAAGTGGATGAGATTCTTATGCTTGAACTAGAGGTTGTAGATGTTGAGTTTGAGCCCATGAATATAGCAAATGCATTTATATCTATTAAGTTTATAGAGTATGCCTAACCAAATTTGGAGCAATTTTGGATGGATAACTAACACCTTTTGGAGATTCCCCCATCTCCCATAGAGCTTGAAATTCCATCCTCAATTTTTATAGTGGCTAATGTTGGAGCAAAGGCCATAGTCCTTCAACACTTAAGTCAATTGCAACAAATAAATTGATAAAGAATGAAATAAGCAAAGGAGTTCTTACAATTTTCCATAAACTTTTTAGTCTAGTTTTTATCCAATATTTGGGGTAACTTCTTTAGGTTAAATTTCTCTATCTCTAACCTTGTTGTAGTAGATTCTCAAACTTGGGGCAACAATTCATAACAACTTTGAAAAACTTCACTATGCTCAATGACTCTTGAGATTTATCAGTATAGAGATAGTACTAACAAATGCCCAACCCAAGTCTATAACAAACTTTGTGGATATTAGATAAATAACATTTCCCCATGAATAACATTTGCTTAACTGGAGTATTTCTTTATGGATCAAGTGTTATTTTCTAGGCCCCTACTATGTCCTCTAAAATACTAATTGTCCACCAAAAGTTTAAAGCATTTATTTCCTTACTTTTTCTCTCTTTTTTTTCTTTCTTTTTCACCTTTTTTCCACTCTCTCCTTTTTCTGATTGGATCAAGGGTTTAGTCTAACTACAAAGTTTCCTATCAAGTTTTTCCCTTTATCTTTAAATTCCACACCTCTATCCTCTTTGTTTCTCTCTTTCTATAGTTATTTCTTTTGGGCATTTGCTTTCTATTTAGCTATGAATTTCTACAACTATAGGTCATGAGTTCTCTTCATACCATGGTGCTATTTGATCCACTTATGGTCATCTATTGCAAGGCATCTTAGAGTATAAGATTTTTAAAATATTTTTTCTAAGAAATATTCTTAGAGCATGAGAGAGGATATTTTACATAGAGGTATATACCTTTCTTCTCTAT